ATTTGGGCTCTCCGCATACAAAACTTCAACCTCTTTCACCATAAAGAAAACTTTTAATGAGCAGACTCAACAGCCATGGGTAAATAGAAAGGACTGATGCAGATTTGCAGGACAAACATTTGCTTCAACACCCAAACTCGAATGTGCAGAAAATATCAAAGGAAAATGCGACATGGTGCGCAGCAATCCAAACACTAACGGTGGAAAGGGAGTCAGGAGGTCCTTAAACAATTCGCAACTTCTTGATTCACTCCCTCACAAATACTGTGGAACGTCGGAAACCGAAGGAGCAATATGGACGTGAGTGAGTGAGTGAGTGTCATTCTGGGGAATAATTCAGTAAAACCAGAGTCATTTTGGTAGTACCTCCAGTGCATTGGCAGCGGGAGCATGCAAGGTGCCTTTCCGATCGAGTCAGATATGAAAATATACACCCCCCTATCCCGACAATTTGTCCCATGACCACTTTTAAGAGGGCAAATAAAATGAAAACCGTTGGTTGTACTGACCACCTTTTCTTCTTCGGTAACCTTCTCGATGGGTCACCACTCATTGTAAAACCTGCCTATGGAGGCTGAACTCCATCTACATACCTAACACACAACGGAAAACCCGTAAATCTGTTTGACAATTGGATCGGGCTAGCACGCTTCCCACCCATATGGTATTGCATGCTGTTGGCTGGAGCCAACAGAGCATGGGCGTCTGACTTCAAATCTACGAATATTGGGCTTAAACTCTAGATCTGTTGAAGATTAAGTTGGCGTCTGACTGGATAAAGAACAATAAATAAACATTAAATGGTAACTGCAACTAGAAATATTTGCTAACATAGGCACGGCTCAACGAACGTCACGTCCAAATGGACGAATGAGTGCCCTGGAAATGTGCTCTAAATCATTTTCTTTGCCTTATACATACGCAGGGAAGAGCAAAAAGTGCAATCTTTCCCGTGTAAGCGCATAAGGCAGTATTACTGGAGGACAGCATCTACCTGACTGAGTTGCGATGCTTATACCATTTGGAGGCAAGTAATTTCGGCCAACTGTTCCCTTAAAAGCTGGCGGGTCATAGACAGCGACCTTGAAACCGTTACTTGTTGTAGCAAAGCTTTGAAGGGCAATAGCAACAGGGTGAGGCTTGATACATTTGGGATTAACAAAAAAGGTGTGGGTTGAGAATGACAGAATGCCATAAAGGTAATAGGAGGGGGGTAATTAACTTACAGGCGTCCTTGGTGCAACGTTAATATCAGCTGGCCATAGCTTAGAGTCGCAAACGTCCTCATCGGCTGCCGCGAAGAGGTAATACCACTCTCGCTAAAGTATCAGAAAATCGTAAAAGTGTTAGTGGAGAAATAAACACATACCGACGTTATCACTCTAAAGGTAATAAAAATGTCCACCATTTCACAGAACTGTGAACTTTTGAATATCTAGGAAAACTTGATTTGCTTCATTGTTATTAATTCCATCATTTTAGGAAGGCCACAGACATTGTTTTCAGTGTATGTTAAAACAGACAATGCACCAAAAGTGTAATTTACTTTGAGTCGAAACAATGCATAGCCACTTCTGACAAATTGTCACGCATTTGCAGAAATACCAAATAAATGTGGCGCACAAACCGATGGCTACTTTACGCACGCAGCTTGTACACCCTAAGGATAGGGTTGACTACCTTAATAAAAAAGAAGCCAGCTACAAAATCCCAAGTGATACTGTACAGTGTGGCCAAACAAGAAGATTCGTCTTAACACGCATCCACGAACACCAATTGGCCGTGAAAAGGCATAAACACTTGTCCGAAGTCGTTATGCATTGCCTCGACACAGGACACCTTTGCATGGAATGAAACACGCATCGTCGGAGTTTGCCCCTCCAAAAATGGCCGACAACTTATCGAGGCCATGCACT